AAAACCTATTTTGGTTCATTGTGTATTTCTTTATTAGTGAAGTTGAACCTATTTCCATGTTTGTTACCCAGCTCTATTTCCTGAAATAGACTGTTTCTGAAATGTATCTTTTAATCAATTGGAATCTTAGTTTTATTTCCCATTATTTTGAGGGATAAGCTTTTACCCAGCCATCCAATTTGTTGCAACAAATCATACTGAATAATCCCATCCTTTCCCCCTCTGATTTACAGAAAAAGCCTTTATAACTTAAAATATTTAATGTGATGCTGAAGTGCTAGGTTGTTCTAAATGTTTTATAAATATTAACTCATTTAATTTATAACAGATACATATATACAGATACCAAGTTTAACTATACAATTTATATATATATATATATATAAAATGTCTTTTTAAGCTTCTCTAAGCCACCTGCCTGTTTTTTTGCCAGTTCGTTTTAACTGCTTACAGCCGTCTATAATGGGTTTTGAGGTGTCAGAGCTCGTTCTTCTCCCCCTACTGTTCTTTTTCATCATTGTCTTAGCCAGTCCCACCTGCTTTTTAAGGTAGACTATTGTGGGGGAAATAAAATGTAAACCAAATAATTTTCTGTAGCAAGTTGGCTAGTGGCAAATGGCACTAACGAGGATGAAAGTGTTGGGCTTGAAGAACCCTCACTACTTCACTAAAAGGATTCTGACACTGTAAATCCTCAAACACTTAGCAGACGTTCTTACATAAAATAATGTGTTCCTTAATGAAGGCACTCTAAGATACTAAGTATCTTCTGAATCCAGTTTAAAATTATATTCCACAACACGCCTACCGTGACTTTCACAGGACATACTGAGACTATTCTGTATGCCACGAAATTTTGGGATTACCTAAAACAAACCACAGTAACAGACAATTTTGCATAGTAAAAGTAAAAGGTGCATATCAAACACAAGGCCATGCTTCAGGCCTAATGCTCTGCAAGTGAAACTGCACAGTAAAGGCCACTGCACAATACCAAAGAGCTACATGACGATCACTTTCACATCTCCAGGAACAGCTAGCTTATAAAGAGTTTTGCTCATCTGGTTTAAACAAATTCTATCAACAATATTTAAATCTTGTACAAAGCTTTCCTTAATAGGTCTCTATTGAGAAAACATTCATTTTGTCACCATTTCATTCGGCATTATCTAAAGAACTTGATTAAATATTGGCTGTGCTACATACATGGCAGAAAAAAGCCAAATGGCTACCTATACCTCTCCTTTGGCCCTATAGTAGCAATATCCTCCATTTTTTCATTTGAGTCTCATAATCCTACAAGTTAGAAAAGATAATTTAGCATAGTTACTGACGAGCAAACAGAAAAACTCAGTAACTTGTCTGTAATCACACAGCTACCGTGCAAACCCTTCTGTCTTCTGACTCCCATCCACTACTCTTCCTCCTCTAGACTCCTTTCTTCCCTAACTGCCTCAGACGTACCACATTCAACTACAAGCCACAACAAAACAAAAACTGGAGAAAAGTTTTGAAGGCCTAGGGAGCACATTTTTGAGTAACAGGTATATATATACCTATCAGACACTGGCAAAATTACAGTGGGGGGCATAAATTAATATAGTAAGTCTCTCCCATTTGGAAGGTTAATTCCTACATCCCTGATATATAAGGTCAGTCTTACAGGAAATGGAAGGAGATATGTATATATTCATAGAAAGTAATTCCCAGGAGGCATCCATTTCCAAAAAACTAGATTCAGCAGCATTAAATAGACTCTTTTCCTAAATCACCACATTCATATGCTCAGAAAACACCAATATAAGGTTAAATTTTCAAACAAATCCTTATCACTTGTAATGTAAGTCTGTTACACTTGTATACAGTCCCTTGTCGATTCTATAAATTGAGTCAAAGTATTTGCCTGCCCACCAGCTTTTTCACCAATGTCGGCAGTGCCAAAGTCTCTGGGCCTGGTCTTCTATTCACATGTTGAAAAGAGGAGAAAATAACCAGGACACCTCTTTCCACATCAACTGTCCTGATCCCACTCCACAGAAGAGAGTAATCATAGTTCACTAGACTGAAGCACTAGCCCACCTGGAGAGCTGCTGTCCACATTATCTCCCAGAATATTACAATTCAGTAAGCCTAAATGTGGCCCCATTTCTTAACTAAAAACTATAGTCTCGCCCAGCTGGGCGTGGCTCAGCGGTTGAGCGTCAACCTAGGATCCAGGAGATTGGGGTTCAATTCCCGGTCAGGGCACATGCCCGGGTTGCAGGCTGCAGCCAATCAATGACTCTCTCATCACTGATGTTTCTTTCTCTCTCTCTCCCTCTCTCCCTTCCTCTCTCTGAAATCAATAAAGATATATTTTAAAACACACACACAAACTAAAAACTATAGACTCAAGAAGACTGAGTTTAATTAGCATGAGTGAAACTATATCAATATTTTCATTTAAAATATTTTAACATTCTGACATATGTGTCTATTCATTCTAATGAATAAAAACCCTGTTATTCATCCATTCCCTTGTCTAACATTCATTGAGCAGCACACAATATAAGGGCCAGGGAAGATTCTAGGCCCTTGGGACACAGCAATGACAAGATTCACATCTGTGCTCCACAAAATTTTTACTCCACTGGGCAGACAGAAAATAAGTCAGATTAATAATACCATTTCAGGTACAAATAAGTCCTATGAAGAAAATAAACCTGGATGGGAGTTAGAAAAGCCACTGCTGGGCAAGGTACACCTATTTTAGGTAAGGTGGTCAGGGATAGTCTTTTGGAGGAGACAACATATGAGCAGAGATCGAATGATGAAAAGACCCAGGGAAGGCAGAAAGAACAGCAAATTTAGGGTCCTACGGTGTTATCTCTGATCCATGTTTGGCTAGGGGCTACTAATAAAATGGGCTGACTCCAAAAAACTAAGTACCTAAGTAAGACCGGACAAAACAAGACAAAATGTAGGGGTCAAAATAAGTGTCTCTAGCAACAATGCTATGAAATTTAAATACTATAGAATTGCTTAGACAGGGGAAGGAGGCAAAATCTAATTTAATCTGGGTCTTACTGGGTGAATATAACTCCAGTTCACAGAAATGAGGGAACGAGCTTTTCATCAAAGGCAAAAGCACAAACAGAAGCACAGAAATGGGAAAGTACAAAGACAAACCTAAATCATCAGATAAGCACGTTGATTAAAATTAAGGAATATACAGGTGAAAATGTAGGTCAGAATTAGGACAAGAATGCCTTTAGTCATTTCCATCAGAAAACACTTATTTATCCAAGCCCAGCTAAAAAAGTCAATTCCTCTATAAAGGACCCACTTGAACTCTTGAAGGCAATTACCACTCTTCAGTGTTGCCACCCATCCGTTTCCTCTCCTCGCGTCTAACTCCCAGAGATTACTTATTCATCACAAAACCCACATGTCCCATCAACCACCACCTCTGTTCAAACACAGTTCCTAAAACACAAGCAGCATACAAAATATATCTGTTCAATCAACTATAATAGAGTAAAATGAGATGGAAGGTCCATAGGCTGGAAAACCCAACATAATAAAGATGTCAATTCTCCCTAAATAAATCTATAGGTTAAAGTAATTCCTATTAAATCCCAGCTAGGTATTTATTTTGTAGAAAAAGACGAGCTTATTCTAAAATTTCTATGGGAAGGCACAGGCTCTGGAACAGCTGAAACACTCTTGACAAGAATAAAATGGTGATAATCACTCTCACTGTGCAGATATGTGGTGTTGGTGAAGACAGACACACACTGATGGAATAAAACGAGAACCTAGATAGAGACAGACCCAAATACGCCCAACTGATTTGTGACAAAAGTGCAAAAGTAATCCAATGGAGAAACACAGCTTTTTCAACAAATGGTGCTACGGCAACTAGATATCCACAGGCCACACACACAAAAAATTAACTCAAACATAAAACTATAAAATTTTTAGAAAAAAAATTTTTTTGGAATCTAGTGCTAAGTAGGCTTTTGACTTGAAAGCACAATCCATAAAAAGAAATACTGACAAACTGGACCTAATCAAAATGAAAAACTTCTGCTCTGCGGAAGACCACGTGAAGATGCCAAAAGACATACTCCTCACTGGAAGAAAATATTTGCAAACCACATATCTGACAAAGGAGTAGTACCTAGAATACATAAAGAACTCTCAAAACTCAACAGTAAAAAACAATCCAATTAGAAAATAGGCAAAAGATGGGTACAGACATTTTACTGAAGAGGATATACAGGTGGCACATAAACATCATCAGCCATCAGGCAAATGCAAATTAGAAGTGCAATGAGATACTACTACTACACATCTGTTAGAATACCTAAATTAATTAAAACAAAAAAAAACGATGGTGAGGATGCATAGCAATTGTTATACAAAATAAAACCACAATGAGTTATCACTACTAAAATGTTTAAAATAAAGTACACTAAATACTGACAAGGATGCAGAGAAACTGGATCACTCAGATTGCTAGTGGGAATGTAAAATAGTATAGTCGCTTGAGAAAGTTTGTCAATTTCTTTAAAAAAGTAAACATGCGTCCTAGCCAGTTTTGCTCAATGGTTAGAGCATTGGCCTGTGGACTGAAGAGTCCCTGGTTTGATTAAGGCCAAGGGCACGTATCTCAGTTGTAGGCTCAATCCCGGGGCACGATAGGGGCACATGTGGGAGGCAACCAATCAATGTGTCTCTTTCATATCGGTGTTTCTCTCTCTGTTTCTCCCTTCCACTCTCTCTGAAAAGCAATAGAAAAAATATCCTCGGGTGAGGATTTAAAAAAAAAAAAAAAGTAAACATGCAATCACATGACCCAGCAACCGCACTCGAATGTACACAAGCGTTCGTTCACAGCCAAAACCAGGAAATAACCCATATGCTCTTAAACAGGTGAATGGTTAACAAACTGTGGAACATCCAAATGATGGAAGACAATTCAGCAATAAAAAGGAAAAAAAACTACTGATACATACGACGACTTGGATGACTCTCCAGAGTATTGTGCTCAGTAAAAAAAGCCAATCCCAAAAGGTTACATACTGTACATTCTATTCACATAATATCCTGAAATGAAAAAGCACAGAAATGAAGTCCAGGTCAGTCGTTGCCGGGGGTAAGAGGGACTGAAAGCAGAAGGGAAGGAAGTAGATGTGGATAAGAAGGGAAACATGAAAATCCTTGTGGTGTGAAAATGTTCTATATTTTGACTGTATCAAGGTCAATTTCCTGGTTGATACTGTACTATGGTTTGTAAGATGTTTCCATTGGGAGAAACTGGGCAAAGGGTTCATGGGCTCTGTGTTCTTTCGTAAAGCTGCATGTGATTCTACAATTATCTCAAAAATTTTTTAATTAAAAAAAAAAGGATGGAAGACAAAGAAGTTAACCTTAACAGGGAAAAGATGCTTTGGGGGGGAATGGGTTGACAGAGGCAAGAGTATCCAAAAGGCAGAGGATCTTATCTCTAAGCTCAAGTTCAGTGCTAAGTGGGTTGGAAGAAATAAGGGTTATCAGAGAAGCTCAGATGGCAGAATTGGGAGCTTTAAAAGAATCAAGAAAACTTGGAATATTAAAGTCTGCAGGGTGCATGATTAAGAAGAATTAACAATAAAACAGAATTTCTTATTAGTCTTACTGCATCCAAAGCACTATTCTTCACTTGCTAATTCATTACACAGGTTGTTAATTCTGTTTTATCTATAAAGCTGCAAAGTATTTACCAAAACAGAGTATTTTCCTAAAAAAATTCTATCACCACAATTTGCATGTCCCTATGAAATTCTACATGATGCAACTTTACTTGTAAAACTATAATGTAATCCTAACAACAAGAGTAAAAATTAATATTATTTCTATCCTAAAGAAAGGGATAGTGATAATAATGGGTCCAAAAAAATGGGTTCAAAGAGAAAATGTCTTATGGTCACACAAAAATCAGTGACAAAAGTAATTAGAATTCCAGACTCTCAACTGTGGTAGTGATTACTACAGTACTTATTTTTTCACTCACACACACAAAATCTCTTTTTCTTCCTCTTCTGAGAATAAGGGTGCCCTTGCAAATTGGGGACTTCCATAACTGGCTAATGTAACAAGCAACGTAATTTCTTTTTGTTAACATTTTTAATCTTTTATAAGGCATCTCAGGAAGGTCTGTAGAGCTTGAATGTTCCAGAATACCTACGTAGAAAAGATGCATGTGAACGTTTCCAAAGCTGCACCAACAATTCATTTTGAGACTAAATTCATGCCTTATAAAACTCAACCAGGCAAAGGTTATCAGTTAACTAAAACTTAACTTTAAAATTCAACAAATATTTCCTGAGTGGTTAGACCCAGTCACTGTAGAGGTACCAAGGATACAGTAGTAATGAAAACAGGAAAATGTGGCTCTTGCTCTTGTTTAATAAACGGGAAACTACAGTAAGATCTTATAAATGCTAAGATGCAGACAAATACAAGGAGCCACAGCCCCCCAAAGGAGCATGAAAAGTCAGCTACACCAGTAAGAAGACAATCAGACAACCAAAGGGAAGTGATGTCTAAACAGAGACCTTAAAGATAAGCAAGAATCAGCCAGTTGAGAAGTGGAGACGAAAAAATCTAAGAGGTGGACACAAATATCTACAGCCATTCATGTAAAGAAATACACTTAAGTGATCTTAATAGGAAAGAAATCCTGAAGAGAATGAAGAGAAACTTTAGCAGGAATATCTGACAGCCAGGAGACAAGTGGTAACTGTTTTTGCAGATCAGAGAAAGCTAAAATCTAAGCTGGCTGTGCGGAAGTCCAGAAGAGGCTGCTTGGTGCTAGTGAAACCAAGAGATAGTCATGAAATAGGGGCACAGGGCACCTCCAAAAGTGGGCATGTGGATAGGTGGTAAAAAAAGAAGTTCACAGTTGAAATTCTATGTAAGAGACTGATTAGAATTCCAGATCTCCTCTCCCACTCACAAAGAATACTATCTTGCCCCTTCCAGATACTGAACTCAATGACAAGAGGTGTAACAGAGAAGCGATATAGGAGATTAAAAAAATAGGGAGATTAAACAAAATTCTACTTTCTAAATGGAGAGGTATGGCGCTTTCCTTTCCCCTTGACAACCAAAATGCTGGCAGCTGGATTTACACCCTTCTCTAAGCAAGATTCTGCGAAATCTGACACATACACCACCCTCCTCCTCCACCAGCCCCAAAGGACCTACAGATAATTATAGTAGGAGATTCACATAGGAGGTGGCCTTACAAGATCCCTCTATATTGAAGCTCACAGTTTACAAGCCCCACACACATGGGATGAGCTTCCAATCAGCTGTATAAGCAAGACCACTATTTTTAATTTTAAATCTCATTTTACTATTTTAAAAGTGTGTTTTTACTGACTTTGGAGAGAGAGGAAGGGAGAGGGAGAGATGGATAAAAATATTGGTAAGAGAGACACATCAATTGGCTGCTTCCTGCATGCCCCCGGCTGGGGACTGAGCCCAAGCATGTGCCCTAACTTGGAACTGAACTGTCGACCTCTTGGTGCACGGAGGAGGCTCAACCAACTGAGCCACACTAGCCAGATTCATTTGACTTTTTAAAACTAGGTACTTTAATAAAAATTAAAATAAAAGACAATGGTAGGGGATTTTATTTTTATCATTTTTATATACAACATAATTAAAAACAAGTTAAAACAAGTCACTCTCAATCCTAATAAAAGTGCAGCCAAAAGAGAGTACCTAAAAAGTAGAAAGTACTCAACCTGTATATCCATTAACATAGATGGCAACTCCACTAAAAATTGTCGATGAAGTTCCATCCTTCTGCATAGCAGCATCTGATCGAAACTGTTCCTCCAATTTCTGGACCTTGGCAGCCATATATCCACCCTAGAATTAAAGAAAAGGTAAACACTAATCACAAAAGTTATATTTTCTTCCCTTTTTTTTTAAAAGAAACTTCTATTTAAAAATAAATAAAAGGACCTTATTCTGTGCCAGTGACCAAGGTATAATGATGACAAAGGTGTAATTATAAACGTGAACCAGAGGCAAGGCAGGTCAAAAGAGACTTTTCCCTCTCTTGACTCAATTTTTAATAATTCTTTAACATTTTTATAATAATTAGTTATTTTAAAATGTTTTAATGACACAAAATATTGTTATCTATAAAATAAAGCAAAAGTTACACCAAAGTTTAAACCAGTTAAACTTTAACACGTGGTCAATAAGTATATACTTTAGATGGGCTTCCACTATCTTTTATGCATAGGAAGCTTAAAATTAATAACTTCAAGTAAAATGAAGCGGTTCAACAAAACAGTACAGTTCTCCATACATGTAGATAGGAATACAATAAACGATTCAGTGACTAAATTCTGGATCTAATCAACCTATTTAACAGTAGTACTAATTTTCAATAGATAACAGGAACCTCAAAAAAGAATATAAAAACATTATTTTCCCTACACACCTTTACAAATCTAAAAAGTGTAGCTGAATTCAGCTATACTTTTCCCGAATATTGAAATAATTAAGCTTAATTGATGTAAATTATCAATTAAGTCTCTACTGATTTATCTAGATTGATAAAGAATATCAATTAGGTCTTTAAAAGAAAGCTGTAGATATGCAGAAGTGATACACATTTTTTTCAAAATGGAAATGACTTCATTGTTTCTGATTACACAAAATATTACATGCTCATTGTCAAAAATATTTTTTTTAATATAAAGAAGGAACTTTAAATTAGTTATGATCCCATTCACTGTTAACATTTCGGGACCTTATTTTCAAAGTTTATGTCTATGCCTCAGAGCATAGCAAGCAGTTTAACAAAAACAGGATCATATATATATCAATATTCCTTTATAACACAATAACCTTTAAGTCAAGGCCATTCACTAGATTAAGAAATATAAAGTTAAATAATGGTTGCAGTGTTCCACTGTATAGAGATTATTTAACCAATTCCCTATTATTGGATAGCTATGTTTTCCTATTTCTCAGTATTATTAGCAATGCTGCAATAAGATTATCATACAATAAATTTTGTGCACTAGAATATTTATTTCCTCAGGATAAAATTCCTGCAAGTTTAGGGGTTAAAGTTGAGCTTTCAATACATTGCGAAAACTCAGAGTTGGTATCTAAAGTGATTTACAACTTAGAAAATGCCTTAAAACCAATTACAAGCTATAAGAAGAATGAAAATACAATATAATTATTCTTATTTGTTTAAAACCCACCCATTTTTCCCAGCCATCATTTTCAGCTCGCCTCCTCCATCCACCTCGTCTCATGGTGGAGCTTCTGTATTAGGGAAAAAATTAAAAAAAGAGTAAATTTTATAACATAATCTACTAATTGATTTTACTTCAGTATCAAGAAAAATGAGAAATTCAAATACAAATGTTTAATTCATTAGAGTTGAAAGTATAATACTGAGTGAAGAAACTTTTTCCAAAGCTATCGTTCTTCTGCTTCAAAAGTGACATTTGTTCCTAAAAACACCCTCCTAACAGGTAACTATGAGATTTTTAATTGTAACTACTTTAAATTAAACAGGAAAAACTTTTAGGCATTCCTGAGCACCAATCCTAACACCTACTTACATAAAACATCAACAAATCTGACTAACATGGTTTTGATTATTTGTTAACAATTAATTAGTGTTAACAGAACCTAAGAAAACATATTCCTTCATGAACCCACCTAAAATATGGCTCTTAAACTCCGTCCTTGCTATTGCATACTGGGTACTTAGAGTGCATGCACAGTGTAATTCATCTGTTATGCAAAAAGCTCCCAAAAAAAGTCAAGTAAAACAATACATCTAGGGTAGCGATTTTCAACCGCTGTGCCACAAAAAAA